CCGTCATGGCTCATTTGTGGGATTTAATCAAGGTTGGGATATAAATAAGGGGGGATATAAAAGAGGTATGACTGTATAAAAAAAACTATTGCTAATTAAAAAAGTAAGTATATCATAAGGAATATTATAAGAGTTAATTGTTGTAACAATGAATTGGGAGGTTATTGAATAATTGACTCATTCTAAAAAAGAGGTCTTTATTAGTTTGGTATATTTTCCATAGCTAAATAAAACATTAACTGCACTAGAACCACATGCATCCATTGTTTCATCAACTGTAATGCAAATATACATATCTTTAACTTCATTCATTATTTTGTTTATTGCTTGCTCATAAGCTATTGGCAAATAATGCTCATGTAGTTGATTTGAGTCTACAATACCACCCCCTATTAATTATTTTTTAAAATTATTTATCAGATTTATTTACCTTTAAAATTTTCTCTAAAAAAAGATTTCAAAGAATCAATTTTTTCTAAAGGTATGTTTGCTTCTACAAGTGTTTTTACTAGATTTATATTATTCCCTTGGTATTCAGATATATTTTTATGCAAAGAAGTGATGGTTTGTTGTCTTGGAATGGCTCTGCTAGAATTTGTACTTTTAATTTATTTTTATGAGAATTACTTTCTAAATGGTTGTCAGTTGTTTGGCTTTCCATTTATGGTCTACTACAAGTTTGCAAGCAATAAAAAAAATTTTGTCCTATCAGCATAAAAATCATCTTTGTAATTTTTTTTTTAGGCTTTTTGGAAAGCCCATTTTTTCATATTTTTTTATAAATTTAAATTTGTGTATATAGTACAATTATGCAAACTATGCAACAAATCATCAATTATGCAAGGATTATGCAAATGCATAAACCTGGGGTCTCTAACTTAAAGTACCAAATGGGCACTGTATAACCATATGCGCTTATTTTGTTTGAACCCAAAATTCAGTATAACGTTTATATCAGGGCTGGCCGTGTAACTCAAGTGAGCACTTGGCTAAACTGACCAATCTATTTAGTCATATGTTAAGTCAAGTTTAGTCAAGTTTAGTCAAGATGATTGTTACTAAATTAGGTTTTTAACCCCTTTACGTTGCCAGCCCTGGTTATATTAGCAAAAACCCATTGGTTTTGAGGTGGAGCCATTGGTTTGACGGGCTGTTGGATAGTCAAATATTTTTTAGTAGAGCAAATAAATTTTTTTAGGTTAATTATCATTCTACTGACCAGTTTACACATCAAAAAATAATACTTGTGTACTGTTCCTCTGTGTGCGGAATTGATAAATTTCTAAACCAAGGTGTAAGTAAATGTTGTTCTTTCTCATAATTAAAATTAAAGTTATTAACACTGCATCCAGAAAACAGTATCAAATATTATATCAATATGTATATTATACGCAGTTGACATACAATTTGCAAGCGAAAAAAATATGCTGTATTATATACAATATTTGATACTGTTTTCTAGATGTGTAACAAACTTTGTTAAATAACCTAAATAATTTACAATTACTTGCAGATTGATTAAATTACTTGCAGATTGGTAAACAACTGTGATCAACAAAGTTTAACTAATTAACCGGTTCAAATATTTGAGCCAGTTAAATTGCCAACACTGTATCATTGGGATGCCAGCATCAGATTAACCTTTGTGAACCGAAGAAGATGAGAATAATTGTAATGCCTTAAATATACGAGCCTTGAAGATACACTTTAACATCTGTAAATTTCCACAATCAAATATATCGAATTGTTTTTTTGGTGTTTCCAAATTGTTCAAGAGCAGTTTTCTCTAATAATCAACCATGTTGCTTTTTTTACCATGCAATTATTTAATGTGTTAACATTAATGATCAAATTATCTCTGGCTATTAATAAATAGCATATCTTCTTTAGAATCGTACCAAACAATACTTCATGAACGCCTCTTGGTTTCGCGTTTCAAAAAAAAATTGAATTCAACACTTTACTCGTTAAAATAATACTTTTCATGTTTCATGTTCTTTATTATTTTTAAAAAAAAAAAAAAAAATGAAAAAAATAAGAATAAAAGTTAAGCAAACATGATTAAAGAGTCCTGATCAATGTCAGAAACCATTAATTTGAGCTCTAATTGATTATACTAAAAACAACACTGGTGGTTAATAATAAAGGATGATAAAAATATAAAATAGTCGATTAAGTTTATTGCAATGACCGATTTTTTTATAATAAATAAAAATCTCAGTTCGTTAACAAAATAAGTTTAATACACTCTATATACACAACGCAATCATTTCCGCGCCAAATTAATTCTGTTCTTTTCTTACATCAACAATCACGAGTTTAATGTACAAATAAAAATTTTAATTTTACAAATTAGATTAAAATATTTACAAGTATTAATGTTATTATTTATAAATGAGATATAAAATATATGTATAATTTTTTAAATATTTTCTTCGTTTATTGAGTTAAGACCTGTTTATTATTATTAGTTACAATGAAAATTAAAAATTTACGGTTAGAATAGAAAGGTAATAATAGTAAAAAATGTTTAATTAATTTTACCATATGACTGACCTGATAAAGGTGGTACCATATTTAATTGTCGCATTTCTATCGACGAAATATCAAAATATTTATTAATATGATATTCGTTACAAGAGAAATGAAAATAATAAATAGTGATAATGTTATTCATCTAACCTTCGGCAATTTCTTCATTGGTAAAAGTTCTACTGAGACGTTTTGCTTTTACACTCGAACTTCTCGAGTGTTTAAATCTCTCGTTGTTATTGCGATTATTATCATTGGTAGTACTACTAGTGATGCTCTGAGTACGTCTACGAGCAGCCAATTGGCCAAAATCTGATAAAAATTATTATTTTCTTAATTATAAATTACAAAATAATGTTTTGATTCATAATATTATTACAAACCTGCATTTGATTTTGCAAGATTAAACGGCTGTTTATTTTCTTTATTTTAAAAAATTTCAATATGTTAAAAAAAAAAAATAATAATAATAATAATAATAATAATTTAATATACAACAAACCTATTGATGATGATCGTACAATATCGAAGGATTTTTTATCTTTAAAAAAAAAAAAAAAAAAAAAAAAAAAGAAAATTATATATACTGTATGTTATTGTATATTCTCGCGGGACATTATAATATTTGGTTTTTTTACCTGCAGACTCTAAAATTAATGAATGGTTTTTTATTGCATTTTTTGGTTGTGGAAGATTTGTGAAATCAAGTAAACGACTCGTGTAAAAAGCAGATGGATGTTGAATCTTTTTGATAAACTTATTTTGCAACGTTGATAACCTTACTAGTTCAGCTTCACCGATTTGGCTACGAAATTTTTGCATTTCGCGAAATTTTTTAAACAAATCTAACAATTCGCCGACCGTAGGTCTTTGCAACGGGTTGGCGTTCCAACAACTTTGCATCATTTCGACGTAGCAATCAGGTGTTCCGATTACTATTTCAGGTCGAAGGCCATTACAAACATCTCTGGCTAATATGTAATCATGTGGTCTATCTATAAAAGGGTTTTCACCGGAGGTCACCTCCCACATTATTATTCCTAAACTATAAATGTCTGCAGCAGTCGTATACTGTTCCCCACACAAAACTTCTGGAGCTACATAAGGCAGCACGCCAAAAACATTTAATTTCTTGTAATTCAATAAATTTTGAGTGGTTGTATGACGATGACACGTTCCTAAATCTGAAATATAAGTGTCCAAATTATCACTATCGCTTCCGTAACCATGTCGTAATATATTTCCACTATGAAAATCATTATGTACAAGACCAACCGAATGAATGGATTGAAGTCCCAAAACAATATCCTTTAACATATTTATCTTTTTCCACCAATCAAATCTTTGAAAGTTTTGATCAAGATATTCTCGAAGATTGCCTTCACTTGCATATTGCATAACTAATATATAATGGTTTGATTCTGGATCTTTACTAACTCCTAAAAACTAAAATTTTTTAAAATTATTTATTTTATTTTATTATCAAAGAATAAATAATAAATTTATACCATAACATGGGAGTATTCGACCTGATTCCATACATCGATGATATGATCTTAACTATAATGATGATAATGATAATAATAATAATAATAATAATAATAATAATAATAATAATAATAATAATAATAATAATAATGTTTATTATTATAATATAAGGAATATATAATAATAAAAAATACATTACTAATAAAATAAATATTTGTTTAAAAAAATACCTCGTTTATTAGGTTACCAGACAAGCTGTTATCATTACTAGAATTAAATCTAAAATTAAATAAGACCTTTAAGGCGACTCTTTTTTTATTCCAAATTAAATCGATTTTCTGTTCAGGAGCATCGTGCCAAATCGCTTCATAGACAATACCAAAGCCACCTTTGCCAATTTCCTTTAAATTACTGAATTCATGATAGGGAATCCATTTTAAAGTTTTATCATTATCTTTTGAATTTAATTTTATTTCTTCGAGAAATTTATCGATATCAGAATTACCACTTGACAATTTTCTTGTGATGGTTAAAGCTGAATATCTTTTCATCGCAATTAATTAAAATTTTTTTTAATTAGAAAAAAAATATTAATAATAATAAAAATGGAATTTTTTTCAAAAACTCGTGTTTAACTAACGGACGGACGGTATTATTTATTTATTATTATTGTTATTATTATTATTATTATTTATCATTTTTACCCCTTTGTTTCAAAATCATCATTTTCATCAAGTTTTTTGGATTTTTGAAAATAAATAAACAAGAACAATACTCGATTTTTTTTTGTGGAGACTAAAAAGTGTACGTCAAGAGATGAAATTAGTATTGTTCGTTCCTTTCATGTTTCAGAATTTTGCAACGGTAAAGTATGTGACTATTTCTATCATCATATCATCGTCATAATGCTCATATATATTAGATAGGTTTTACAAATTGTTCACATGAAAAATAAAAAACTTTTTTTTCTACACAACAACAAACCGTTGTTACATATAGAGATAAAAAAATATCAATCATAAAGTGTGCAACAAAATGGTGTTAACTCGAAAATGGCATTACCTCAATAAATTGTGGCTGAGATCATCGCTCATATTATTCCAAATTAGTAAATTTGATGATAGTCCTGTAAAAAGGAACAATTATAACAAAAGTACAATAAATAAGATGTCTCTCGAATGTAGGGCAAGCGATTCTTGTTGTGTTTCTTCCGTAATATATTTTAAAAGTATATTATACAAGTTTTGTTTACATTTCTATCAGTGGTGCATTTGAAAAATGTACGTCTATAAAAGTTCCAAGTTTTGTTTACGAGTCCACAACATCCACACGTTTTATTAGTGCATTCCTCAGCACAGATGACCATCTTTGCACCTGAAAACGGAAATGTGGCATTTATTTACCTTGCGGTTTTAGATTGGATATTTCCAAATATCTAGTTTACCTTTTTTTTTTTTTGCTTACAAACCATATTCTTGAATCCCGTGACAAAAAAATTGCATCATATTAATATGCGATGTTCTGTGGGGATTCCATTCACCAACTATTTTTAGTCAAATCAAATCACGTAAAATTTATTTGTAATAAATATTATGATTTCCTTGGATTCAAAAATAGTTAGTATTATATATAATTAAAAAAAGATTATATAGATCGCAAGATACGTTTTTGTTTATTTTTATTTTTTTTATTTACGTTAAAAATTGGTCAATTCCTCTCGGCCATTTTTCTAGACATTTATTTATATTTTATTTCTAGTGTTATATTTCTATTTAAGTTGAACTGAACCTTTTGGGAAGCGTGAGAACAAGAGGTGAAACATTTTAGCTGCAAATTATTCAACATAAGGAAAATAAAACCCATTTCTCATTTAAATAAAATAAAAAATCCAATATGAATATTAATATTTGTCATGGCAACTATTTTTTTCATTTATATGATACACGAGTATGCAAAGCAATTTTGTATTATTCATTAGCTCCATCAGTGGTATCTTTATTAATCCATCTCAAAAGGCAAAAAATTGACAAATTTGTTTTGAACGCAAACGTTTGTTTGGAAAAATTACATTTGCTTTTACTTATATACCATAAATATTTTACATGATAAAAATCTTCATGTTCTCGCGGCATTAGGATTGTATTGGTCTTTGAAAGATCAGAGATTAACTGGTCAGATTTCAATAAAAATTTACTTTATGAGCGAATTTAATTGATAACAATAAAAAACAATAGGTATGCTGAATAGGGTACATTGGGTTCGAGTTGTTTATTAGAGGACTACCTCTTCGACTAAGTCTACTTTATCAACTTTGATGATGTTGATTCCCATAACCTTTGGTAATCGGGTAACGTTAGTTGCCCGCAGATGCAATTGCTAGTTTAAAAATTAAGTCAAATGCTCGCGATAGTTCTCTTGGTGAGTCGGCCTACATCATGAGTTTGAGCTGCCACTGTTCATGGGTCAAAATGTCAGTTTATAAGTTGAACCTATCCCTATATGTATGCCATTTTGTTCAGGTCAGGCATTCTCTTTCAATGAATATTTGGAAACACTCTTTCGCATTTGGACTTTTGCTTTAAGGTAGTAAAGAAAAAAATTTTCTCCAATTATTATTGGACATGATAACATGCACAAAATCAGAAAGAGTCTATTTTGATGGTGATGTTGATTCGTCCTTTCCATCACGGTCACAACAATATCTGAGGGCTCATTTTCGAGTTCCAGGACTCTCAAATTTGTTACAGATATCTGGAGAAGAGGTATCACATATCAGTGCTGATTAAAAAAAAAAAATCTTTTTAAAAATATAAAAATTTCATAATTGAACGGCCAAAATTAGTGTTTTCGGGAATGAATTTTTGGTCACGTGAACAATTTGGTTGTTTTTTACGTTAGGATCTTTTGGATAAAAGGCAACAGTATGCACAATCAATTCCTCCCCGTTTAAAGATTTTGAAGCATTCATGACAAAATGTTCATTTGTAGGTGGGGTTGTTAACGCTTCCGGTCTGGTCCAAAGACCGTCAAATCAAAGGAACGGAGTGTTTGGACCAGCCCGAGATTGCAGTCTGGGCTTGGAGTACATAATAAAATGCACAGTTTTCGAATTGTTATTCCTTCCCCATTTTCAACAATATAGGAGCCAAATATGTGTGAATAGATAGTATTTTAAACACTCAGAGTTATTTGCATTTTAAAAAAGTTGAATATTGTAAAATATTCATTCAAAATTTTCCTTTATTGCATTCAGAAAAATATAAAAAATTAACATATTCTCTCTCTATCAACATTCTACATATAGTTTTCAGCCGAAACAATTTAATTTTTTTTGCAAACAGGAGGAGAAATAACAGTTTAAAGTTTTGGTACTATAAATTCCATGGAAAAATCCGCCTATATAAATTTATCTTTATTTGAATATATTAATGATTCAAGACACATAACAGAAGAATCACTCCACATCTTCATCACTTTTGCATTATCTGTTACCAGAGAAGAAAGTTTATTTATTATACCTAACATATTTAATTGTCTTTTCAAGATCAGTCAGTTGCTATATTATCACTTGTTTTGATAATAAATCTCTCTAGTAGTGTGAGCTTTTATAAAAACAGCAGTGATCAAAATATAATTTATCCAATGTTCTTGAGTATAATAATACTTGACCTTAAAATTTTAAAATTTTTACTGTTTGCATTAAATTTTTTCTCTTGAAAAATTTAGTTTATTTAAAAATTATTTTGTCTAATTTCTATATTATAAAAAAAAATATATATATATGTGTATTTTTAAAAAGATTATATAAAGTTAAGTTTTTGAAAATAACTGTCCTTTCATAATTAATTTATTCAAAAAAGATTTTTTTTTTTTTTGAAACTTCATTTGACTAACAAGTGGTATACACACACACACGCATATTTTTAAAGATTTAGTATATAAAAATTGTATTGATATCAACTTATTTCATTAATATACATAAATCTTTAAAGAATATTAGAAAAAATCTTTTTAAAAAACTTTCAAACAAAAAAGGTAATTGAAAATTTTTTATATAATAATAATATGTAGAGAAAACACTAAATGAACAATAATACTACTAATAAATACTTTTCACTAATATCCAATTAAACCTAAGTTCTGAATTTATCTCTCAAAAAAAATAAAAAAGCAAGTTAATATATTTTTCTTGAAAAAAAAGAAAATTATAGACATTACCGTTTTGATATAGTTATATTTTGTTTTTTTTTTCCCTTGCAAGAATCCTGAATTTCATGTTTTTATTTTTTTACTAGGAGGTTCATCATTGGTCTATAAAATTCAAATAACAATTTTGTTATCACTGAAAAAAGATATTATCATTTCCAATGAAATTATTTAAATAATAAATATAATTACATTTGTTTTAAATTTCTCCGCTCTATTTTTCATTTTTTCCTCTTCACTAATTGTATTTAAAGATGTAGGGGACACACTAGATAATGATTTGGACTAAAAGAGGAAAATGTATAAATTATAATTGATCAAAATTTATTTAAGATAAGATATATAAATATATTTACCTCTGAACTAAATCTCTCGGCACGTTTCTTTTTTTTTTCTTCCTCGCTTAAAGAACTCAAAGGACTTGTAAATTTTATGGTTGGATCTGTTGTTTCTTCTGTTGTTTCATTTGTTGATTTATTAGTACCAAATCTTTCTGCACGTTTTTTTAGTTTTTCTTCATCTTCAACAATTGACTAAAATTATTTTTATTTTAAATAAATATAAATACACACATTTAAAAATTAAAACGTACGAGAAATAATTAATTTACTAACCATTTTTTTAGGAGCAGAAGAAGGCCTTGGTGCTAATATAAGAAAAAAAATTTTTGAAGTTATATATATATATGTATGTATGTATGTATGTATGTATAGAAAGATAGAAAGGAAATCAGAGATGGAACTTCAATTCAAATATTCACATTTTAATTGAGAATCTAATGGATTAGGAATGGCGAAACCAAAACGAGCTGCCCTTTCAAGTTTTTTGTCTGCTTCTGATAATTGTGTTCCAAAACGTTCAGCACGTTTTTTACGTCTTTCCAGTTCTGAAGATAAATCATTGGAATTTTTATTTAAATCCGACGGCTCATCAAATGTAATCCTTTTACATGTAAAACCAGAAGGTTTTACTACAACGTTAGAATTAGGAGAATCTTTTGACGCTTCATCGGTAAAAGAAATTTCAATCGCTGAAGGTGTTACAGCTGTTGGAGTAGTTGCAGTGATAACTTTAATAGACGAGGAATTATTATCATTAATTTCAATCTCACTGTTGGAGATGTTTGTATTAATTTCAGAAATATTTAGTTTGGATATATCAGTTTCTTTTGATGTTTCATTATTGGTTATTATTGCATTGTCGTCATCGTCATTGTTATGGCTGTCAATGATGTCGTTGTTGTTATTGATATTACTATTATTGTTATCGTTTTCATTGTTGTCGTCGTTGGTAAAATTAGAAGAAATAATAGATTCAGCTGTATAAATTTCTTTTGAAGTTTCAGTTTCTGATGTTGTGATGGCTGCAGTAGTGGCAGTAAGGAGAGCATTGTTATCATTCAGAGAATTTGTGTTGGCTTCAACTGGTTCTATTTTGGCGGTTGTGGTATCTTTGGATGTTTGTTTTCTTCTTGTTCTTGGAGGCATTTTTTTATAGTCAATTTTAATAATATATTACAAATGAATTATAAAAAAAAACCATATTCGTGTAACATCACTATGTATATACAAGTCATCAAAATTTCTGACCATTTGAGAAAACATTACGCCTTATGCGGTTCAAAATTCTATTAATATATCAACCAAGCCGGCTTAGTGCGTTAAGTAATGCTAATACTAAAAGTTGAGTTGTGAAGTCGAAATTATGTCATATCACATGATTTATTATAATTAATAATTTCAAAAATTTTTTATTTCGAGAACCAGTGATCCGAATTTAATAAAACATGGCTCATTAGAATAATCTCATAAAGGAAATTCGAATAATGGTGATTTAATATTCATGGCACCAATAAATGACAAGCTATTGTAATATATACAGTAACCCAAAATATCTCAATAATCAGTGATTCGGATTTTATGAATTACATTCCATTAGACTCATCTCATTGAGAGAATTCGAATGGTGGTTGTTTTATTCAAAACAGCCAGATATTGATTGAGTTATGCGAATTTGAAGCTTTGATTAATTTTTTGTATGTTCAACCTGTTGTATGATGTAATTTCAGCTTTTAATTTGACTTTTGACCTCTCAGGTCAACTTTTTGATTTTAATTTTGACTTCATGTATAATTTTGACTATCCAAACTATGCATGAAGTCGAAACGATTTAATTTCGGGGATCGGAATGGTCATATCACGTGATTTATTATAATTAATAATTTCAAGATTATTTATCTTGAGAACCAGTGATCCAAATTTAATAAAACATGGCTCATTAGAATAGTCTCATAAAGGCGATTCGAATAATGGTGATTCAATGAGTTATTGTAATGTTATGATAAACCAAAATATCTCAATAATCAGTGATTCGAATTACATCCCATTAGACTCACCGAAATTGAGAGAATTCAATAGCCAGATATTGAACAAGGATTCAACCTTGATCTCTCAGGTCGAAGTATTTCGACTTTTGGTTTTAATTTTGACTTCATGTATAGTAATGACAATATTTATCATGAAAAATTATCATATGTGTAACAGAATGGTTGACATTAAATCGAACCTCTTTATAATAAGTAATTTGGAAATAAAATTTGTATATAAATGTAGTTTAGAAATAACTTTTTAAAAATTTTTTTTTCTTACTATTGCAGCGTGCCAGCAAGCAACAGATCAGATAGTTTTTTTTTTATATAATTATGCTGGAAAAGGACAGGTGATGGTATGGATATTCTGCGAAATAATGTAAAAAAAGGACAGGTGACTAACATGGAACAGGTGTGGCGTAGTGAATGCGCAGAAGCCCGTCCCCCTGTCCTTTTCTATTATTCGCGGGCAAACCATGAAAAGGACAGGTGAAAGGTGTTTTGTCATAAATATAATTTTTAGGAAACAGGCTGCAAAATTGGACTATTATAATTTCCCATCTCTATTTATTTCTTATTTAAAGTCTTGATTTTTATTTTTTTATTATACAGTTGAGGCTAAAACCCATGTAAAAATAAAATAATAGATAATAAATAGGCTAATTAAAATATATGGGGCATACCAGACAAAGTGAACATTGGTATAACAAAGAATTTTAGGGATCAAAATTTAGTCATTTGTAATGTGATCATAATTAATATCCCATTTACTATCTTTGTGATATATAGAACTATTCCTATATAAAAATAGTTAATATGAAGCTAATTTACATTAGGTCTACCATGGAACCCAAGAATTATAGCACCATTAGAAGTATTTTAAAAAAGGAACAAGGTGAAAAAATTGCACCCTATATTTTCAAAATAAATGATGCTCAGGCACTTGAAGCTTATCTAAGAAAAGAAAAGATTACTTATGAAATTTACCAAGAAGAAAGAAAAATAATAAATGTTAGAAAAAGAAAGCAGAATGAAAGTATATTATTACCCAACAAAAAGCAGAAACCCTTAGAAGGAAAATAATCTCATTGTTACAATATTGATTTATTTTATTTTTTCTTTCTCCTTTATGCAAATGAGGTAAATAGTTCTGCCTTGTTGTAAAAGAATCACCAGTCCATTTTGTAACAATCCCCAGATTTTTTCAGAGATTCGACCAGCCCCTAAATTCTATTACCACTGGATGAACATGGGTAATATTATCTGGGGAATTTGCATTTATTTATTTTATATTTATTTAAGTAGTTATCTTTCAATTATGGATCATACTTTTCAGGAAGTCTATAAGCTTACCCACAAATATAGATATTAGATTCATTCATTTTTCTTTTATTTATTTATATATTCCCAACAATTGTAAATTAATATAAAACTAATTCAACTTTAACTTTTGTAATTTTACAACAATTAAATTACTTGTTCAATAAATATTTACACAGTATTTTCATCCATAATAACATTTAAAAAAAATGCTTACATTCAATAATGAATTTTTTTGTGGGCTGTTAATTGGACTCTTTCTTGGTTTCTTATTTCACTATAAAATTTATCAAAATCAATTCTCTATTATAAATCAAAAAATTAATCAAATAGTCAATAAAATAGAACCAAGAAAAAGCCATTTTAAAATTAAAATAAACCAACTTACTGTTTATAAAAAATATTCACATGAAATCAAAAATCTATGGAAGGTTTTCAAACAATTATTTGACAAAAAGACTGGGTTGAATCCCAATTTTTCATTTAATAAAATGGCCATTGAAATTTGTGAATTACTTGAAGAGGGAAAGGAAATTGCTGCTTCTACAATAAAAAACTTCTACCAACGAAAAACCAATCCCAGAAAGAAAACAATAGAAGCAATTCAGCAATGGGTTGAAAAGGAAAAGAAGAAAAAGATGGAGAATGAAGTCGAAGAAGATAATAAAAACCATGTGGATATAAATATTAGTAATAATATTATTGATAATAATAGTAGTAGTAATAGTGAAAGTTGAATTTTTGTCAGAGTGCCCAAAGAATAGGCAATACTTTACTTACAAATGGCTTTGGGTCTGTTGTATGTGAAATTGAAATTATGTGAATTCGCAATTCACATATGTGAAATTGAAATATTATGGAGTGGGGTGAAATTCTGATTGGCTAATTTGAATTTCACGCATGTAAATTTGAATTTCACATATGTGAATTGCGAATTCACATAATTTCATTTTCACGTACAACAGGTCCAAGTATTTTCCTCCCATGCAAGCACTCCGACTTACATTTTCATAAATTATTAATGTATTTTCTATTATTAATTGAATTAAAACTTTTGTCTTTCGTAAATAAATTCCAAGTCATGTGTCCACTAATTTATCATTGGTCAAAATGCATAAATTGTAACAATTACGATCTAAATCAATAAAAAAAAAATAATTTTGAAGTTTTGAAATTTTTTTAATTCTAAAAAATGACAACATACGAAGATATTAAAAAAGAATTAAACGATGCAAAAAAAGAGCACGAAGGGGTGAAAAAGAAGCTGGAAGAATGGGAGGTAGAGTGGAAGGTGAAGTTGGATGAGTTGGAGGAGAAATTGGACAATAAAGAATGGGGAAATGATGTAGAACAGAAGGAGAGGTGGGAAGGACGAATAAAGAGATTGGTTGAAGAAAAGGAGAAATTGGAGGCAACAAAGGAAAGGTGGGAGAAGCAGGTGGAGGAATGGGGAAAGGCGTTAAGAGAATTCGGTGGAGGGGAAGGTAATGAACAAATTGCATAAAAAAAATACACAAAAAAATATTTTTTGTTCATTCAATTTCATTTATTTATTTATTTGAGTGTTTTACAATTTTAATTAACTTATTATCCATTTTATTCATCCCTATAACATATTTGCTTAAAAAGGTAAGTTTAAAATTTTGTATTTTCTTCCTTCCTTTTCATAATACATTGTTAATTAAATACTTTTTGCACTTTGATAGATGATAAAATACAACATAACAAAAAAATAAAACTAGAGACAAGTCACTACCAAGAGCAGATCAACAAGTTTATAAAAGCTTCACATGAAATTGATTTGGGAAAATCACACTTAGAGCTTCCACTTCTTCCAAATTTTCAGTCCCATAGAATTTTTATTCGAAGTTGTTATCAAGATCTTCAAAAAATTATCAAAAATGATACAACACATATGAGATTCCTTATTACTGGAAACCCAGGGATTGGGAAAACCTTATTTGGTCAATGGATTTTAGCACAATGGGTAAAAGCACAGGAATTTCCTGTTTTATTTGCTACCAAGGGTTTGTACTTGCATTTTGAGGCTGGAAAAGGCGAAAAAATCACTGAAGAAATGTTTACAATGTATATTTTTGGTAATAAATCAGCATGGATCATAATTGATGGCATTAAGCCTCCTGTTAATCATGATTATCAATGGTGCAAAATTTTAATGGTGTCATTACCATGGGAAGTATTTGTCAAAAATTTCACAAAACCAGGAGAATTTGTAGTCAGCACCCTTTATATGCCTACTTGGGATGAAGATGAAATCATGCATTTGAACCTTGATGGAAGGACAAAAGAGGAATACCAAAAGAAATTCTTGATATGTGGTGGAATACCAAGAACAATCAACATGTATTCCATAGAAAAAATAAAAGCAACAATTAATTTATGTATCAAAAAATGTAGCAATGACATTCTAAATTACATTGGAAGTCTAAGTGAGGGTGACAAATTCAGTCATTGGCTGGTTCATATTCATACTAACCTTCCTTCTAATGCCAATGAAGAGCTTTTTGAGTATACCACCGATCCAAATATTTATACACAACCACCATCTTATACACAATCAACTTTATATTTTGCATCAAAATATGTTGGTGATGAAGTGCTTAATTATTTAGAAGAACAACACCATTCCTTATTATGGCAATTTATCCAACACCCACCATTATATCCTGTTGAACATGGTGCCTTGAGAGGACACCTGCTGGAATCAATGGCACACAAAATAGTTCCTAAAAATTGTTCAGTTAAGATTCGATGTCTTGAAAGAGAAACATCTGATGAAATTATTTCTTTTGGACAATTAACAACAATGACCTTCAAAACAATTGATGAAATTGAAAATGGAGTGTATTGTCATCCAATTAACAAAAACTTTGAATCAGTTGATGCTGTAATAGCCCCAAACATTTTTTTTCAAATCACTGTAGCAGAAAAACATCCAGTCCTTCAAGCAGGGTTCAGACAACTCTTGGAGAAGTTTCAAATATCACCAGATAATAAAGCACAACTTTATTTTATTGTTCCTGATTATTTATTTAACAAGTTTAGAAAACAACCATATATAACCAAAAAAAAAGATGAATCAGTAAAATTCAATGATTGGATTAACAAAAGAGTGATACAATATGTTGCTTGCTTAAAGGAAGAAAAGTTCAATAAAAAAGTATATTAAGGAATGTGTTTAAAGATTATATAAAAAATAGGTTCAGATTCATTATATAAATGTATTGTAAGATAAATTATTTGAAAAAAGTGATGGAATAAAATAGAAGTCTATTTCCTTAACATAATTGTATGACAATATACTTATTTTAATAATTAAAATAGTAATAATATAAATAAATGTGAATGTTTGGTTGTTCATTATTTTACAATGTTATAGTTTTGACAAATTTTAAACTTCTCAAAAACCTACAAAGTGAACATAAAATTATATATATAGGGATAAGTGTAATAATAAGTATAATGGTTCTATTGAATATTGAAAGGCAATTGATTTTTTAAAAAAAGGTTGTAATTGTGGTTGTTTTTCAAGAATTCCCAAAGAAAATTTTGCAGAATTAAGAGAATCTTTTCAAGCTCTTTCTAAATCAGAACAAGACATATTTTTAATGGCTCAACTTAAGACAATGGATGGTGGATCAATAAGCACTAGTAGATGCCTTAAAAGAAAACCAGATATAACAAAAGAACTTTCTATCATTGAGATCACAATACACCTCTTTGTCAAGAAACTTATCTCAATATGTTAGGAATTGGTAGAACTTATTTTGAAAATATTAGAAATCACATGATAAACAATGGTCTTCTACCAAGAATTCATGGTAATATAAAAGAATGCCTTAATGGAAAACCAAGATGGTGATTGATAAAAATGTTGCAGAAGTAGTAAAGAATTTTCTAGGAAATTATGCAGAAGTCCATGGATTACCAAGTCCAGGAAGAAGTATCAATAAAATAATTCAATCAATTGTCTTTTTACCAGCTGAAATGAGTTATAAATCTGTACATAGAGATTTTCTAGCTGGTCTGGAAAAAGATAGTAATTTGAAATCCTTAAAATATGATGCTTTCAGAAAATTATGACATCAATTGACACCAGAAATTCAAATTATGAGTCCCAGGACTGACTTGTGTGATACTTGTCAACATTTTAGAGATGGTTTACATTACAATGCTCACCAAGAGGAAGAAGCCAAAGAATTACTTAAAAGATTTAAAGAACATCTGTCTAAGGCCAAATTAGAGAGAAATTATTATAATAAAAATACCAAATTGGCAGAACAACAAAGAAAACTAGTTGATCAACATTGTTCCAAGGATAAAACACAGTATTGCAGCATTGATGCTACTGCTCACTATAGTTATGATTGAACCCAAAATGTTCATGTACCACATTTAAATCAACAAGTGAGTAAAATTTATTATCTTAGTCCATGTAAAGTTCATTTATTTGGTATTCAAGATGAAGCAGTAAGGGCAAATTAATTATGTTCTTGATGAAGATGAAATTATAGGAAAAGGTCCTAATGGCACTCTTAGTATGATTTTTGATGGAATTAAGAAATTGAACAAAGGTGAAAAGTATTTAAAGATTACCTGCGATAATGCTGGTGGACAAAATAAAAATAATGTGACTATTTGATTTTATTTGTATCTAGTAATTTGTGGTTATTATAAAAGTATTGAATTGAATTTCATGGTTCCAGGACATACCAAATTCAAATGTGATGGTAATTTTGGCATGATTAAAAAACTTTACAGAAGAACAAGAGTAGATAGTCTGGATCATGTGGTTGAAGTAATAAAAAAGTCTAGTCCAGCAGGATTGAATAAAGCTCAATGTTATGAAAGTGGAAAAGGTTTTCAATATTTAGATATTAAAGATATTTTGGGAATTTATTTTAAGAAATTACCAGGCATCCAGAAATATCACATTTTCTTTTTGAAGCAACTAATTTTGATACAGTGAAATTTTAAGAAGTTGCTAATGGAACTTTTACTAAATTCAATTTATTGAAAACCAAGAAAGCAGATATTTTGGAAGAAATTAGAGCTTTATCCATTTTAGTATTAACACCTTTGGATTACAAAAGGCAAGAATATTTTTACCAGAATATTTGCCCATTTGTGAAAGATGAATACAAAGATATTACTTGCCCAAGACCAATCTATAGTTGCAATGAATAAAATATTTAGAATAAAAACACCTCTATGACTTCTTACTGTCATTAAGTTTAATAAGTTTAATCTTTTGACAAATATTGTTAGCTTTTTTCCACAT